ACACAGAAATTGCCAATAAACGCATGAAAAGATGCTCCACATTACCAACCATTAGCGAAATGCAAATCAAAACCACAATGAGACACTACCTGACATCCAGTAGGATGGTGACTATAGACAAAAAACCCACCGGAAAATGAGAAGTGCTGGTGATGTGGAGAAACTGGAGCCTTTATGCACTGCTGGTGGGAATGTACACTGGTGCAGCCACTATGGAGGGCAGTATAGAGGTTCCTCAAGAAATCAAACACAGATCTGCCATATTATGCAGCAATTCCACTCCTGGGTATATACCCAAAGGAACTGGGAGCAAGGTCTCAGGGACCGCTGTGTGCGCATGTTCACGGCAGTGTCATTCACAACAGACAAAAGGCGGAAGCCGCCCAAGTGTCCATCAGTGGATGAACGGATAAACAAAATCCATCATTTATGAATCACTACGTGGTAATCTATACACTGTGTAGTTCACATTCAATGGAATAACGTTCAGCCTTAAAATGGAAGGAAATTCTGACACATGGATGACCCTGGAGGACATCAGGCGAAATGAAACAAGCCAGTCACGCACACACACAAAGACATACACGGTATGATTTCACTTATTTGAGGTTCCTAGAGGAGTCACATTCATAGAAACAGACAATGGAATGGTGGTTACCTGGGGCTGGGAGGAGGGAGAGGGGAGTTGTTGTTCAGAGCTTAGAGACCCAGTTCTGCAAGATGAAAGTTCTGGAAATTGGTTTTACAATGTAAAAATCTACACCAGAGCTGAACTATACATTTAAAAATGGTGAAGGTGGTAAATTTTATGTTATATGTATTTTAATGCGTGCACACACACACTCAACAAATCTATACAAATGATGAATTTGTACGAGATTTTCACCCTTTTTCAAATACTCTAAATAAAAAGTGACACTCTGGATGGACCAGCTGCATGTTTTCCAACGTCCCATCCTCCTCTCCTCTAAGCCTCAGGTTCTCCCGGGCAGAACCTGGGTCCATGGTAAATACAAATTCTTGAAAATCAGTGTCAGCATCCCACACGTGGCGCAGCGGAAGCCCGGGGAAGGGTGGAGGTGGGCAGGAGGACGTCACGTATCTGGAACCGGAAGCAAAGAGGTTTCCTCAGTCCCAGGATGGACCAAGGTGCTTGAGCTCCAGGCGACAATTCAGCACAGGCTTGAGCCACTGAAACTGGCTCTGAGGCTCAGAGCTGAGCAGCAGTTCTTCTAGCTGTCCCCTCCGCCCCAGCACCCCAGCTGCCTCTCCCTGAGCACCCATGAGCTCACACCCGCAGCTCCTTCGGACTGGACGGACTCGGCGGGCAAATGGCACCTGGGGCACCACCATCGTGGGGCTGGCAAAGAGGTCACCAATCTACTTGCTAGGGGCCCTCAAGGAAATATTAAGAAAACACAGTGGGCTATCACAGTCTCTTCTCCCTCAAAGTGGTGACCTCCCAGACCAGCAGGTGCAGACAGCACGCAGTTCCATGCCTTTACCCTGGCTTCTCAGCCGACCACCAGGAGGTGGGACCAGGGCTCCACAGCCCACTACCCAGGTAGGGTTACTGCGTTAGAGCAGACAAGGACGCCCAGGAAGCTCCCTCTGCTTTCTCCGCAAGACAGATATGCACCTCCTTTGCCAGCAAATGTCCACAGGAAGGTCTAACTGGATTATTTATAGTTTGGACTCATGATTAAAATTGGGGGAAAATCCCCCACTGAAATGGAGCTTCCAGTGACTACAGTCAAACATGGTGAAATGAAAATAATAATAAAAATCGACTGCACAGAGCCAGACTCCACGGGAAACGCTTCAGCTACATAATCTCATTCTTCCCTTCAGCAACTGATGGCACAGTTGTTTGCCCATTTTACTGATGAGGAAACTGAGGGCAGAGAGGTCAAATCAACTTGTAGATAACTTAGCAAGTGAGAGAGTTCAGGTCTCCGAAAGGCAGGAGCAGCTGGCTTCTCCACTGCCTTGAATGACTCTGGGAAGCTGCTTCTCTGATCAAATGGTGACAGCCGTTCCTGTCTGACAGCGAGCGCTACTGCTCTGAGTGCGGGAGATAATGGATGAAAATGCACCTCCATGGTGTAGCTGGGACGTTCTTTTCTCTCCTCCTCCCCCTCCTCTCTCATCCCCTCACTCACATGCAGGGAGGCAAGATGGGCTCGGAGACCCAGAGGACAGTGAGATGTCATCGTGAACCCGCATCTTCCTGCCAATAGGCTCAGTGTAGAGACAAGGCTGGAAAGGGGAGGCCAGGGAGGCAAGGCAGAGTCCCCGGGTCCCAGAGTGAGCCGGGGGGTTGGAGCAGACGCGTGCAGGGGAGCGAGGTCAGAGCACAGACACCTGCCGTGGCCTCTAAGAGGGCAGAGAATTCCAGTGCCAGAGAGTGCTGAAACCATCTGGGGAAACCGCTTTTGGATGTTTACACAATTTTAAAGAATCTCCACACAGATTATTCGTAAGCTACAACAGGGAATTGAAAAGTAACATTCGTAAGAGAGAAGTCTGGTGGATCTCCTCAAATCAAACAGAACACAGGCAACAACGGGACCGACTAACACTCGGTGCCCTGGACGGGCGTGGGCAGACACAGCATTGCTTAGTGCTCAGAGGCTACTCGTGCCCACGGGCACGACCTGAGCGAGTCACAGGGAACGTCGGAAAATGCAAACGAGGGGCGTTCTACAGAATGACTGATGCGCCATGAAAGATGAAGACGTGCCGGTCCAGAATCAAGGAGACTAAAGACGGGTCAGCTGAAGGCAGCCACGTGGTCCCAACACCCTCGGGACATCGTAGGGACAAGGGGGGCAATTCGGATGCAGATTCTCTACTGGATGGGATGGATCAACGCGGAACTTCCTGACAGTGAGCCCTGTGTGTGGACGGCGGCCCTGCTCTCTGGAGATACCTGCCTAAGTACTTAGGGGTGAAGGGTCATCACACCTGCAACTTATTCGCAAGTGGTTGCACACCAACAATAAAATATGCTGTGTGTGTGTACGTATGAAAACGAGAAAGCAAATACAGCAAAATGGGACTGGTGACTCTAGATGAAGGGTATACAATTTTTTCTTTAATGGAGGTGCTGGGGATCAAACCCAGGACCTCGTGCATGCTAAGCACACACTCTACCACTGAGCTATGCAACACTTATTATACTGTTCCTGTCTCTATTCTATGGATTTGGGAAAAAATATATTAAAAAAGAAATGAAAATACCTCAGGAGAAAAAGGTGGCAATTTAAAAAAAAATGAGCAGAGAACAGTTTGACAGTTCCTTGAAAAGTTAAACAGAAATACCATATGACCCAGCAATTCCACCCCTAAGAGGATGTCTGTACCCAAGAGAAATGAAAACATCTGTCCACACAAATGCTCAAAGCAGCATTATTCACAATAGCCCGAAGGTGGAAATAACCCAAATGTCCATCGATGGATGAACAGATAAACCGTGGTACAGCCACACAATGGAATACTGTTCACCTGCAGAAGAGGAAGAAATTCTGACCCACACTGCAACATGGGTGAACCTTGAGGACGTTATGCGGAGTGAGACAAGCCAGACACAAAGAGACAAATGTCTGCATGATGCCACTTACACACGAGGTCCCTAGAGAACCACATTCACAGAGCTGGAAAGTGTGTCCAGACAGAACGGTGTCCAGGGGCCAGGAGAGGGGAGCAGGGAGTGTCTGCTTAACAGGTGCAGCGTTTCCTTCCGGAGTGATGGAAATATTCTGGAACTGGACAGAGACGATGGTTGCACAGGAACGTGAATGCAGTAAATGCCACCGAACTGTTCACGTTAAAATGACTGATCTTACGTTACATGAATGTTACTTCAATAAAACAGCACAGGGTGGACAGAGAAAAGAGAGGGAGGCTGTGAGGGTTTGGGCAGCAGAGTGTGGACGGAGACACAGCCAGAGGGGGCACTCACGCCTCTGTGTCCGCTGACCGGACCGGAAACAGTGCCAGGGATGCACGCGGACCCCCGTGGAGAATGTGCCTTGTGTAATTGTGAGTCACCTGAAATCCGCTCACAAGTTCACAAAGACACAGCGCAGTGAGAATTAATTACGTGCTGAGTCGTATTTAAACGATACTTTGGCTAAAGCAGCGACAACAGAAGAAAAACGGGCAAAGCTGTGATCCCAGGGGCCCAAGATTTTAGAAGGAAAAAACCCTCCCCTCGCAGACCCCTGGACGTGAAGTGACCGCGTGGCGGCAGCAGGCTGAAGAGTCTCGTCTCTGCTGGGCTAGGGCGGGACAGGTTTTAAAAGCCGTCTGCCCCGTCTCTTTAGAAATCAAGTTTGTTCTCACTGACACGAAGCTGGCGCAGAAAACACGATCCACTAAAAAATAGTTCTTTTTAAAATTCTTATTACAAAAGAAAAGGGAATTCACATTCACTATAAAAACTTTAGAAAAGACAGGGGGGCGGAAAGAATTGCCCCAGAGAAAGACACTGCTAGAATTTCGGTGGACCTCTCGCCAGCCTGAGGAGGTGATACTTAACAGGGAGCAACGACTCGTTAATGGTGGAACTTTGAGCATCTTCAGAAACTTCCTTGGTGAGAAACTGCAGTAAATCTGAGGTTTCCTATTAAACCCACTAGCAAGGATGGTCCTCGCCCAGGTGTAACTTCCCCTGTGATGCACGCCCATTTCCTGTCTTCATTGCATGTATCCAGAGAATCTGGTGCTGAGAGGATCACCAAAGAGCAGGCCGAGCAACCAGAATAAACGTCCACCGCCCCCTTCCTTATAAACATCCTTCCTTAAAGAGAAACCAAGTCACAAGGAAGGGGAGAGTCTCATCATGTAGATTCTGTAGGCTAGTTCTTGGTACCAGCTGGACAGAGAGAAACAGAACTAGTGATGACTCTGAGAAAACTGACAGAAACTGGCTGGAGCCCTTGTTCCTCCTGCCGCCGCCTCCAGAGTGGACCCTGGCTCCCGAGGCGCACACTCACCCATCCAGACTTCCCCGAACTGCCCGGCGCCGAGCCTTTTCACCAGTTTAATGGACTCCCGGGGGATCTCCCAGGCATCTTTGTCCCATGGCTTCTGTGGTTTGGGACTGATGCAGGCCTTCTCCAATCTTCTGCACAAGCCATCTGATTGCTCTGATTTGAAAGAGAAAAGAAAGGCGGAGAAAGTCACCCTTTGTGTTTGACCAGCATCTGCAGAGAAGTCTGAACTATTAGCCTTATCATTTCCAACTCGCCGAGGTCTGTGAATCTAAAATGCTTATGGAGGTTATCGTCTGTGTAATTGCGACTTCTGAAATTCTCAAATGAAAGACAAGTTTAAGACATGCTTGATTTTATTTATTAGTAATGCTAATCTATAAAAATAAAAACATCAACATGAACAGATAAACAAAGGCCGACAGGTTGTCACGCTTAATAAAATACGATTTTAATTACTGAGCCCACGTAAGCTCTTCAGGGCACATTGGTGGGGACATGGTCATGTCACCAGGGGTCCCCAGTCCCAGTACAGGGCCACGCTTCCGCAAGCACTCAGCACACAGGCCAGACGAATAGTGGATGGGGTAACAGAGCAGGAGGGAGGACTCCGCAAAATCTGGGGTCCCTGCACCCTTCATATTTGAGGTCCAAAGCAAATTTTATAATGTGTGTTCCCTTCCAGCAGGTTGAAGAACTAAGCAGTAACAACAGCTGCCCATCACAACTGACCTCAAACACACAGCGAATGAACCAAAAGGCTGGTCACGAACTCAGCTTAGCGGGGCCGGAGAGCTTGGGGACGGAGGACCACTGACCAGACGCTTCCAAATATTTTGCTGTTCTTGTTGTTGTTTGTTTTCTTTTACTGAGAGCACGCACTACCTTTACACGCACATACGCGTCTATACACTGGGACTCAGCTCTACAAAGCTGCATTCCTAGTCCAGATATTTAAAGATGCGTTATAAAACTATTCACTATGTGAAAATAATGTTCACTTTCCTCTTTGTAATTTTGGAATATTAACTGTCACACAGCACGAACTAGCTAGGAAGGACTGGGATAATTATTCACAAAGATCAAATCTGACTTTGAAAGTATACTTATAGATCAATTTTGAACCAATTCTAGAATATGATCCTCCAACTTTATCCAAAGGAAATATGATGCATAAAAATTTTATTCAGCATAGTGTTGGAAGTTCTAGCCACAGTAATCAGACAAGAAAAAGAAATAAAGGGAATCCAAACTGGAAAAGAAGAAGTAAAGCTGTCACTGTCACTGCAGGCGACATCATCCTATACACACAAAACCCTGAAGGCGCCACCAGAAAACTACCAGAGCTCGTCAGTGAATTCGGTAAGGCTGCGGGACACAAGCAATTTTAATATAAAAAAGTGACACCATGTATTTATCACAGTACACGTACTTTTTCTTGTCCAGCCTCGCGTGTTTACTTACTTTGGTAATGCTTAATCATGTCACTGATACAAGGAAAAGTGATTCGTGGGGAGATGTAATAACCCCCATTGTCCAGACTTCTAATTTTGTAGTGCTTAATAACGTCGCCGTGCACAGGGTCATAGTCTCTGACGGACAGAGAGAAACTGCCTGTGAGGGAAGAAGTACAAGCAAAGATTACCCTCATATTTTATAAATCAGATCGGGATTACACACACCATGGTACACATTGTGCCACAAAGATACGCAAACTATAAATTAAGCATGTATATAGTGCCTAAAGTCCTATAAAGTTCTACTTGATAAACAAAGCTAGCGTTTTGTTTGCCGTGACGCTTACCAACACTTCTCTGTGATGGGTTGTTTTTTTTTTTATTTCACTGAATTGGAAAGTTATTCTGATTTTTCTCTCTCTTAAAATTTCAAGATTTGCTCTAAATAATAATGTAAGAGGCTCAGTAAACATAAAGCACAGTAAAAAATGACCATAATTATGTCCGCTTCTATGTTACTTTTAGCAGCAAAACTAATCACCTGAGTTTGTTACGTGTTATATCAAACTATCAAACGTTCACTACCGGAACACAGTACCGGCATATCTCGGCGATACTGCAGGTCCTGCTCCAGACCATCTTAACAAATACCTTGATAAAGTAAGTCACACAAAGGTTTTGGTTTCCAGGTGCATACTGAGGTTTACACATATTGCAGTCCATTGAGCGCACAATTGTCTATGTCTGAAAACAATGTTTTTACTTTAACTGAAAAACACTTGACTGCCAAACACAGCTAACCATCATCTGATCCTTCAGTGAGTCATAGTAGTAACATCAAAGATTGCGGATCACGGGGCATCATCACAAATACAATAATAATGAAAAAGTGTGAAACAGCATGAGAATTACCAAAATGTGACACAGACGTGAAGTGAGCAAAGGCTGTTGGGAAAATGGTACCAGCAGGCTTTTCTGATGCAGGGCTGTCACAAACGTTCAATTTGTAAAGAAATGCAGTATCTGAGAAGCTTAATAAAGCGGAGCCCAGTCAAACCACGTCTGCCTGGAACTCTTTTATTTGGGGGGTGGGGAATTCTAGAATGCTTTCTAAGGGTGATTTCCTAGACAGTGTTTTATCAGAGGCCTTACGTGACTTCCTACCTTTTAATGTTTCACTTTCTCTGATAAGAAAAGCTCCAGCACTGTTCCCCGGGGCCAGAAGCTGCCTTTCTGCATCTTTCCTGGTTATATCCTTGAAAAACCACCTAAAAAGACATGCGAACATTTCACAGGTGTTATAATCCAGGGAAGGACAAAGATGGAGAAGAGACAAGAAACCCAACGTGACACACAAGGCCTCCCCAGACCACACCAGGCGGGGACTCACTCTTCCGTTTCCAAGGTGTTGACTTTGGCTACGTAGTTGCTGGGGATGAAGCCCTCTCTCTTGGTTGAAAGGGACTTCGCTTTCCACCATTCTCCTTGCCTGGAACAGAAACGCACACCAGAAGGGCTCGTATCCAATGACTCAAGAACTACATTGCAACTGTCTTCACGTGTTTGTTTTTGGGGGTGAGGGAGGGTGGGGAGGATCCCTGGAACCCCAGAATCCAGGGACAAAGTTCCCTCCTCTTGCTGAAATAAAGCTATGTTCAGTGATGGAAGCAAAGGGAAGCAGCCTCCCAGCTGAACTGTGGGTCGCTGTGGTCAGAGTTGCCAAACAGGAGTTGGTGAAAATGGTTTCCATCCTGCAGAAGCAAAACATTCGCAACTTCCCCTGGGATACCTGAGAAGATGCCTGTGGTTCCTTTCGGCCAAACAAGGGGGTCAGAAATGGCTATCAAGGGAATTAAGGACCAGAGTTTCCACGATATAAACTCCTTTGCTAAAATATTTAGTTTCCATAGACAGATACCATGGAAAAATGAAATAGAAAACCGTAAAATAACCCCAAGCAGGCAGGCCTCGCCACCAGGCTCTCATCTTCTGCAAGAGACACGGGGTCAGGGCTGGGGAGGGATGGATGGAGTGGCCCCCGAGAGCCTCAACTATGGTCCCCAGCAGATTCCCACAGGCAGACGGGGGCCTCGTCTGCAAGACATGGACAATCACGGCTGACGCTAGGCTGTGGTCCTCTTCATGTCTGTGCCACATCTATATATAAGCACACATGCCGTCCTCACATCAACCTCATGACGGGCATACCGCCGTTCCTGGTTCAGGAGTGAAGACACCAAGGCATAAAGTTCAAGTGGTTTGTCAAGGTCACACAGCTATCAAGTGGCAAGGCCAGGACTGGGCTCAAGTTCACACTCAACCAGTAACTGATAACTGCGCTCAGCCACTCAACACCTTATACTCATAAGGGTGTTCCTCCTCTGAACAACCAAGGGTCTCCTGGTTGGCAGGCCAAGGAGACGCCATATGCAAGATTGGTAGGGAAGGAAGCTAGGATGAGGACACTGGAGTTCCTTATTCTCAGCGTGGTCCTGAGCCCTGTGGTCTGAGCAGGAACACAGGGCTGTGAGTCAGCACGGAGGAGTCAAGGAAATGATGTCCTAGTGTCTTCACAGGGGTGAAAACTGCTTAGCAGGGACCTTCTCAAGATGACCGCTGGTTCAGCCAGGCACCCTACTGAGTCACAGCCAGCTGGACCCAACCACCCGGGCTGACTTTGAGTAAAATAGCCAAATAAAAATGGCACTAAAATAACATGCAGACTCCACATGGACTCAGACTTCTTAAGGCAGCACAGATGCGTGAGGAAAGAAACCAGCATCTGCCTTCAAAGGGGAAAGTCTTGGGAAGGGCCCACAGCAAAGCATACGAGGAGAACCCCTCTGCCTGCTCCCCAGGGGCAGCAAGGAGGCTGGAGGCCTGGTGCCGCCACAGAGGGCCCGGAGGCCAAGCGAGGGGCCCAGGCTGCAGGACCCGGCGCCCAAGTGAGGGGGCAGCAGGCGCGGTGTGCCTGGGCACTTACTCCTCCAGGACTTTCATCTTCTCTCCTTTCTTGAAGGACAGATCGTCTGGGTGGATGCCATCGTAGGGGTACAAAGCAACCACGATGTCTCCTTGCTCCTCGGGGTCTAAAAACCAAGAACGCAAGCAAAGACCTTTAGGAATCCATCCGTGGAAACATTTTAACAAACTGTCATCGACATAAAGGATGAGATGAGGTGCTGAGGGGAGGGGCAGCTGGAACGGACACGTGTTTCCTTCCTAGTGGGGCTCGGGGCTGGCGTGGCCCACAGTCAGCAAGGCAGTGCACACACCGGGACAGGGCTTGTCATTGCAAAGCATACAGACCTACGACCACAACTGCATCCAACATTATGTCTAAGAAATGAGGCACCTATGCTCAAAAGCTAAAAGGAGGAAACAATCCAAACACCCTCTGACGAAGGAAAGGATCGACCAAACGTGGTCTACACTGACAACGGAATATTACTCAGCCCCAGAAAGGAAGAAAGCTCTGACACACGCTCCAACATGGGTGAACCCTGCAGACGCTGTGCTAAGTGAAATAAGCCAGCCACAAAAAGACAAATCGTGTTTGATTCCACTTATGCGAGATCTTCAGAGTAGTCGCACTCACAGAGACAGAAAGTAGAAGGGTGGGAACCAGGGGTGGGAGGAGGAGGGGTGGGAGTCAGTGTTTAATGGGGACAGAGTTTCAGTCTTGGGAGATGAAACCGTTCTGGAGGATGGAGGTGATGGCTCACAACACCGTGAAGGTGCTTCATGCTAACGCACTGAACACTTAGACAAGGTTACAACGGTAAATGCCATGTCACGTGTATTTTTCCACAATTAAAAAAGTCAGCAAGTACCCCCAGGACAACTACTCTATTGAGGCTCTAACAGGAAAGGAAAGAAGCAACCAGGCTGTCATGAAAACGTACCTTTATTCTGAAACCTCTGTCCTGGTAAAAGCTGGGATTCCGCAACCTGCAAGAGAGTATTTGTTAGAAAAACCCTTGTCACCTTCAGCTTTTTATGCTGACACTCATGTGTTAGGTGACACCATTTTCTAACAGTAGCACATGAGGTTTAGACTGGCTAACTTACGAAGCTGGAAAGGAGAGGAGGACAGAGGAGGGACCCTGCAGGGCTGCATCCCCACCTGCACGGCCCAGTGACCGGCTCTTCCTTCTCAAGCAGCCATTGGCTGGGGCGGCAGGAAACGAACGGGGCTCCGGGCAGGGACTGCGAGCTGCTGACCCAACCATCTCCCTCCCTCTTATTTGCCAACAGAACCCTAATGCTATTCGGGGAGGCAATGTGCCCAGCTACATGCCTTTGCTTCCCGGTTCTCCAGCCTCCTACGCCGATGGGGGCGGGCGTGCAGCCGCAAGCAGGTCCTTGTGGGGCTTCGGGGCCACCTCTCCTGCCCCCGCCCTCCTCCTTCTGCTTAGAAACAGGTGACGGCAGGGGTCTCGGCAACCAGGGAAACCGGTCACCGGCGACAGCAGAGCCAAAGATGGCATGGCCTGTGGCCCCGGTGACTTGTGGAAATGCCACCCAGCCCAGGACTGCTGATCTCCACACCTCCCAGACTTGTTTTAAAAAACTGCAATCAGGGCTCGGGGCCTAGCAGCTGAGGCCAAGTTCTGACGGACCCAGCTTCCCGTGGCTGACCCGAGTCCACCACGGGGACAGACGGCACCCCTGTTACTTCAGTCGGGAGTGAGTTATCAGGAAGGGTCTGGTGGCACAAAAGGTCACCTCATTACCTTTTAAATAAGAGTACTTCTCCCCTCGGTGACCACGGGGGGCTGTATGAGACCTCTCGGGCCTCTTGTAAGGAAGGCACTGTCGGAGGCTTTTGCCCACAAATCGTGTTTCTCTTTGATTAAACTGATTTAATGCAATAGGACCAAGACAGTTTGTACTGACACCTAAGTTTCTGATGAACGTCAGCCCATAAAATCTCCAGCTGTGTGTGTCACGGGGGAAGGGGGATCACATTTTTCTGGTATCAGAAAGTCTTGGGTCCGTCTTACCCTTATTTCAAGAAGTTTTATACTGATTTTTAAACTCATTTGGGTTTGTATAATCAGAATGTATGATCAACTGTAAATGAGTTAGAGGAGACAAGGCAAAAATGAGACACTAATGAGATCACTGCAAAAGCAGCAAGCTGATTTTCAAAGATCAAAGAGTCCTTAAATTACAAATGCTCTAAGACACTTTTTATAAGACCAGAACACGTGGGTGCACTCGGCTGCTGTCACTACTCTTGCGCTTTAAAATGTCTTTTCCGTAAAGTGCTGTTGAATTTGCATCAGTGCAGCAGCACCATCACGTCGTGTCTCCTGGAATCAGTCCAGGGGTGCATCTAGGCACACCTGGCGGGAGCCGAGCGTTACCTGCGGCCGTGGAGTGAGGCCCAGCTCCCCGGTTCATAAACATAAGCAAGGGCGCCTGTGACCAGAGGAGGCACAACTCAACACTCCCGCACACACGAGGGGGCCGAAATTCCAACATGCTAATGATGTCTGCTTTCTAACTTAAGTAAAGTTTAACCTCCTTTGCCCTTAATAAGAGGAAAAATGGTGTGTACGTTTGTATTTGTTTCCTACGCTTTTCGGAATAAAGCACATCTTCTTTTATCACTTAAAAAAAACACGACACTAGGGGTTTTAAAGCATGTAAGATCTGTAGCACACGATACCAGAACAGGCCAGATCGTTCTTACGAGCTCTTTGAAGTCTACAATAAGAAAACCATTTGTGACTCCAATTCCTTGTATCATTTCATTTCCTATGAACCATATTTACACAGTACAGCCCCATGTCTATACCTGTTTGTGTGATGTGTTTTTAAATATTATACATATTTATGATCACTAAATTATTAAAGTTATTCATAATCTTATACATTTTGAGTTTCTATGTATCAAATCACAATGTCAGTTTATCTAGAAATATCTTGTATGATAATTAATAGCATAATATATTCACCCTCCAGCTCTACTTCTTTTTAAGAAGGCCAACAGTGACTTACTAGAATCAACAATGACCTGTGACTCCGACAAAGGTCATACCTGCAGGATACTGGGGAGGTGGGGGAGAGGGCTGGCAGAGGGCCTGACAACAACAACACACTTCTAGAACGCAAGGCATTTAAAAACACGTGAGATTAGAGAAATTAGGAAAACTCTGAATGAAGGCATTTGGGCTAGCCTGGGACAAGCCACTTTCAGCTTAAATGTGGATTTAAATAAAATCCAGGCAATGGGAGATGTACATATATATTGTGAGTGAATAGATGGAAAGGACGTAAGGTCTGAAATGAAGCACATTTAAGGTTGTAATTATCCAAAGTTCGGTTCCCCTTTTGTGTGGAATGTGATACTAGTTCTTCCTTTGGCAAGCATTTTTCAAATGCATCAAAAAAACACATCATTCATATAAAAATGTTGGTAGAGATGTCTGTCCAAGGTTAGGGGGCAGAATTAGATGTGGTGTTTTCAGTCTTTTAATTCTCTATGATAAGTCATGAAGCTTCAGTGCTTCCACTATTTTGAATTAACCATAGAATGACAAGATGGGATAAAGCCGGCACAACAAAGGACACAGCGGCACCTATTCGGGCTTCTGACTTGAATCCAGCATTTTCTTCTGCTTCCAGGCGACTGCCCTAACATCACTACCTGCCCCGACTCACACGAGCTCAGGTAAGTCTTTACAGAGAAAGAGTGGGTCTTCCCACCAGGTGACTATCTCCACACATAAGAAGGCAACCAAAGGCCCCTTTATTGGACAATAGGTGGCCTGGTGATTCCTAAAACACTTATAAGCTCTTCAAAGGGTTAAATTACAAAGCATACTAAAAATTATTTGAGGCCCAGGTAACTGACAAGATCTTTTTGCATGCACATGGTACAGATTTGGCGTTTAAATTATGCAGCCGTGCTCTGATCCTGCTGCGGGAATACTCCCCTGAGACTATCTACTTACTGGCCTCTGCTGTTTATTGGACGTTGGATCTCTCACATAAATAGTTCGGTCAGTATTACGTACTGATTGAGTCTTCAAATCTACTCCGTCGCCATTCAGATTGTCTTTCCTTTTTGATTTTATACATCCCATAGTTCCTGTTGGAATAGAAAAGCAACAGCATTGTTTTACCATTCTAGAACCGGCTTCAAGCCACCAAAATCTCTCCATTAATGAAGGGTTAAAAGAATACACTTTTATTCTTCATCACAGGTGGTTTAACAAACTCAACGGTTGGCACTGCTCACAACCCGGCTGCTCGTTCATTCAGCTATTCATTCATTCAACAACTGTTTATTGAGCATGAGTTTTATGTTCGCAAGACATACTGCCTGCCCCAAAGACATTCATATTCTTGTGGCAAAGGTGCGTGAATTAAAATGACAATCCAAGGTGGCAAGTCAGTGACAGAGGATGCACAGGACATAGGAGACACATGAACTCCAGCAAGAGGAAAAACATGTGGTCGGGGAGGGGGGTGTCCAGAGGCAAATGCTGTGAATCAAAACGGGAGTGATGTCAGCCAGGTGGCAAAGTCAGCAAAGGGATTTTCCAGGAAGAAGGAACCTCACATGCAAAGCACTGGCCCTGAGACAGCATGGCCTGTTCAGGGAACTGCTTCAAGCTGACCCCTTCCGGAAACTAGTTCAGTCTCATCTCTTCAGGGAACTAGCTGGAGCTGATCCCTTCAGGGAGCAAGAAGGGAAAGTCCAGGAGGGGGGCTGGAGGGGGGCACGGCTTGGGTGCAACGTGAGGAGCTGTTACTTTTCCTTGAAGACAAGTGACATTTTGCAAAGCAAAGTGAGGGCGCCTAGGGCTTCAAAGGCAAGGATGATTAAGAGCCAGAATGCACAGAACCTGGTTCCAGCGGAATGTGGCTTGGGGTCTGGGGAAACGGTGGCCTTCACCACAGATGGAAATAAAGGAGGAGATACTGGTGTGGTCTGGTCTAGGAAGGAGGAAATGAGGGGTGCCTCCTGAAGGAGAAATTGTTCCAGGACACCTCAGGGGCTCTTCTCTGACTGTCATCCTCCCTGCATTGTCGCCCCAGCTCACCCTGCGTTTGGTCCTGAGGGCTTCCACGAGGTCCGCACCCCTCACCTTGTTTATCATTTCATTGGTTGCCTAGGAAGCCTCTAAGGACGGTCACACCTCTTTCTGAAACTAGCGAGCTGTAGTTCCCAAAATAAAGGGGAAGCAAGTGCTTCTTTGACTCAAAACAGCACTTTTTTTTCCGCATACTAAAGTTTCTGAAATGGAGATGAGTTTTCTTGTTGATCTGTGAATAAACAGGCGAGTTCTTTTTGACCAATTCTAACCCCACCCTCACCCCCCAAAAAAGCTGTACTTAACTCACCGACATTAAAACGGTGCTGCACGACCGGGGGAACGCGGCAGGGGGAAGGGCGGCCCCGAGCCCCAGGGGAGGGCCCCGCAGGGTCCCCGGGACGCGCGCGCCCGG